GGCAAGAAACTGCTCTTGCCTGTACTGCTTGACTGTTGTTGTATAATCTGGACATGCAGGACCCACAGGAAAGTGACTGCTGAACTCAGTCTTACAGGGTTCCTGCTTCATGGAAGAGTCTACAAAACTTTCTACAGGACACAGAGAAATGACTGACAGACTGCCAATGCAGATGGACAGTTTGAAATTTCCTGCTGTCCTGAGAAATCTTCTGGACACATTGTGGCCTATGGGCTGAAGATGGATGCCCCGACAATACAGAGGAACTTCGGGTGACTGTCCAGGCAGTAAGATGTCTCTGTCAATCCTAGTGTTTATATATTATCCTTCTGTGGTCTTTGATGGAGTTGAAGATAGATAGTTATAATTATAGTTTTCCTTAGTTATGATAAAAGATAAGCTACATATAGAACTTTGGACTCACAAGGATGGGATGCATGATATTTTCTTTAAATCTTGCTAAATGTTAATAGACAAAATGTTGTAACTGTGTTCTTACTTGATAACTGTTCTGTTATATACAATTTGACTGTGTTAAAGTTAAGACCTTTCTTTTTGTTTAAACAGAAAAGAGGAGATGTTGGGGAAGTCCTGTTATTTGTCAATAAGCACTGCTGGCCAATAGGAATCTAGATAGGAGTCCAGGAGAACTCTGGGAAGAGAAACACAAGAGAGTCGAAATGTAACGCCATGGGGTAGGAAGCCCGGAACTATTCTCCGGTAAGAGAAATACTTAGATTAACAATTATGGGGTAATTACTTAAGTCAGAGCTAGCCAGTAAGGAACAAGTAAGGCCAACAGCTTCATAATTAATATAGCCTTCTGTGTGTTTATTTGGGACTGATGCGGCTCTAGAACCAGGCTGGCGGGAAGGCTCCTCTCAAGGAAAAAGCTTCTCTTTACAACAGCCCATGCATGGTGGTCAGAGAACAGTTTTTGGGAGTTGGTTTTCTTTCCACCATTTGAGTCTTAGGGATTGAACTCAGGTCCTCAGGGTTGGTGGCAAGCGCCTTTACCTGGCGAGACGGCCTGAGCTTCCTTTTCTTCTAAGTGGACTGAAGCCACTCAAGAAGAGGTGAAAAGGGTTCACTGCTCTGCCCTTCCAAAGCCCCCACAAAATTGTATGAACTAAAAGGCTCAAATCTGTGGCTAGAGAGTTGGCTCTTGCAAAGAGTCCAGGTTGTTTCCAACACACACGTAGTAGCTCAAAACCATCTGTCACTCCAGTTCCATGGGATCCTACACCCTCCTCTGGCCTCTGTGTATACTGGGCATTCATGTGGAGCACATATGTACACACAGGCAAAACATTCACACACATAAATATAAGAATAAATATTTAATAAAAGCGATTGATTTTATTTTCGTTTTGTTTGTGTATGTGTGTACCCCATGGGTGCAAGTGCCTGCAGCAGCCAGAGAGGACATCAGATTCCCTAGATCTACAGTTTTAGGCAGTTTCAAGATGCCAGAGGTGGGTTCTGGGAGTCAGAAGTAAGTCGTCTTCAGGAACAGTACACATTCTTTCCTAAACGCTGAGCCATTTCCCCAGGCCTTCTTTCCTTGAATTTCTGTTTCTCATTTTAGTGTTTTTCCTCCTTCCCTGAAAATTTCAACATTATTATTATTTTTTTTTTGGTTTTTTGAGACAGGGTTTCTCTGTAGCTTTGGAGGCTGTCCTGGAACTCACTTTGTAGACCAGGCTGGCCTTGAACTCACAGAGATCTGCCTGCCTCTGCCTCCCGAGAGCTGGGATTAAAGGCGTGCATCACCAACGCCCGGCGAAAATTTCAACATTCTAGGCTCGACTGTGGGACTTGTAGTTGGGTCAGATTTACATGCCCAGAGTTTCATCCCAAGGTCAGTTCCTTGCTGTCTCCAAGTCTGTGCTGTATGTTTTCAGGATTGTGTGGGGTGAAGAACTGGGTGGCCCCCTTTCAAGTGTGTCTTCCTAGCTGAGCAAATAAGGTTTCCTCAAGCTCAGGAATGAGGTATGTTCTCTGGAGAATCTAGTTCCCCTTAGGGGTCACTTGCGATCGAGAGGAACCTTTCTCTGGTCTTCCTTATACCAGTTGTCCCATCTATGTGACAATAATCCAAAGGTCTTGCTTGACCATGGCTTTGCTTAGAAGTATGGAGAACATTTTTCTGTGTTGAGCTCTTTGTAGACTGGATACCGATTAGAGTTCACTAGGTGGGCCCCCCATGGCCTGTCTGAACAAGTAAACAGACGACTCTCTATAGTTACTGGACATTTGGAGAGATTCCCCATAGTTCCTTGGAACCTAGTTGGCCTTGAAAGACAAGGAGATGTTATCTTGTTAGGGGTTAGAGAGCTTGCTCAGTGGTTAAGAGCTCTTGCTGCTCTTGCTGAGGACCTGGGTTTGGTTCCCAGCACCCACATAGTTGCTCAGAAACATTTATAGCTCTAGTTCTTGGAAATCTAATACCACCCTCTTCTGGCCTCCCAGGACACCAGTCATGCAAATGGTACACATAAAATACATGTAGACACTTACACACATAAAAATATGAGTCTTTAAAAACTATGGTGCTGGGGCTGGAGAGATGTTTCAGTGGTTAAGAGCACTGACTGCTCTTCCAGAGGACCCAGGTTCAATTCCCAGCACTCACATGGCAGCTCACAACTGTAACTATAAATTGCACACTTGATGAAGGATACAGGTGACTATTTGTTGTGAGGAGGTACTTACAAGAGAGACCAGCAACCCAAGTTGGTCTCAGTGGCTCCGGATCCCTGACTGGAACCCCGAAAAGAGCGCATCTTCTTTCCCCCAGCTCTTTATCTTCTGTCCCTACTACATACCTGTGACCACGCAGCAGTACAGGTGCCTAAAACCTCTCCCTACATACAATTGTCTGTAATTTTAAGGTCTGACACCCCACATAGACATACATGCAGGTAGAACACCTATGTAATAAAACAATAATAAATAAATTACTAAAAACGATGGTGCTTGAGCCGACAGAGCCTAGGAAAAGATGGCATCAGCCTGTTCCCTTCCTTTACCCTTTCCATGTTAAGTGCAAATGGAAAGATAGCCAAAGGCAAGCACTCAGTGGGGCAGAAACAGAAGCATACAACAGACACGGAGCACAGGAGTGTTGAGAAGGGCAACCATACTTTACCTCAGAGAAAACAGCATTGGAGATGCCAGGTAGAAAGAGTAGTCATTAAGACCCAACATAGCCCACCTCTCCAGCCTCCCACCCAAGAAATCTCATTTCTCTTTGCTGGCGCAGTTGTTGGCTGGCAGCAGCCTTCTAGTATCCTACAGTCTATTATTTGGGTACTGTTTGAGATTTGTACTTTTCCAAGTTTTCCCTGGGATGCTGCACATTCCCACGAACTTTCCAAGTCAGCCATTTCAAAGTGTCAGCTCCCTCTGACATGCAGCTAGTATTGGAAGCACGTGGCTGTGAACACATTTAAGTCTTTTCCCTTAGAAATCAGGAAATATATCATGTAAAACGATGTGTCAAAATTAAAACAAAACAAAACCTACTATGGAGGCTGTGGAGGTTTGGTGTTATCATCTCACTCTGGTATAAAACTGCGTTGACTGTATTGTTTAGCAATACAGCCCATGTTGGAGTCTCTTGTGGGTCCCCCATTTCCATGATCCCAGAAGGCAAAAAACAAAACAACAACAGAAACTGAGAGAAGAGGACTGGGACACGTGACTGAATATCTTCAGTGCAGGGAATTCTAGGGGTATTCTAGTCCAGCCTGGTTTGCATCGAGAATTTCAGGTCAACCAGGACTACATAGTGAAAACCCAATCTCAAAAAAACAAAAACATTAAAAGGGCATCAGAGTGGTAGCGGAGAAGAGAGGAAGGGGATTAAATGATGTAGTATTTTAGTAAATCATTTCACTCCATAGGTTGCTGAGAGTGGCAGTTTAGATGTGTTCCTCACAACTGACATTTGGACAAAAAGTTATATAGGAAAAAGACAGTACACAATCCCAAGACACAGGTGTGGGCTTCTACAGGGCATCTCATTTAGGTGTGTTTTCAGTGCATATAGATATATCAGTGCATATATGTATATTTATAATAAAGTTTAAAGATTAAGCAAAGCTTAAAATTTAAATAACATTTAAAAATTAAGTACAATATGAGTTGGTTTACTTACTCTTCTTAATGAATTTCTGTTTGTAAATTGTATGTTTTATGAGGTGCATTGTCTATATTATGGATCGAGAGGCGTGCTAACATGGCAAATTCAACATTATAGACGTTTTGACCCTAAGTAAGCACAATTTCTTTATTGCCATATTATTTTCATTTTCTTTTGAGACGGGTTGTCATTATGTAGCCCCGAGTAGCCTGGAACTTGCTTTGTAGATCATGCTGGCCTCGAACTCTGAGAGATTGCCGGCCTCTGTCTCTGGGTGCTGTGCAGGGGTGCACCGTAATGCCTGACTCTGATTTTTCAAGTGTAAATTTGTTTTTAATATATAAATTTGAGATGTCTTTACGAAAACACACTTTCTCTGTAAGCAATTTTTGGCTGTATCACTTGTGTTCACGTTTTAAAAATTTCATCGGGAAAATCTCCCAGGGGAAGGGTTTTTTTTTTTCTTTTTCGTGTCCTCTTCATTTTCCCTGTCTTTCTAGCCCGTCTCACCATCAACGGTTAGAATTTAGCATGGTGTCCAGACAATAAAAACAGAAGCCTAAGGGCTGTGGAGGTGACAGGCGGGTTCCCAGATCCGGACACAGAAAGAAGAGGTTTCTGAGCCTCCTGAGACCCCGTACTTCCAGGTCTGTTTTGAACCTGGGCTTGGTCGTCGGGAAGGGCCGTCCTCGTTCAGGCATCTTGCTCAGACTTCAGTCGGGTCCTTTGACCCGGCTTGTAACCTCCACTTAGGGATCAGCCCGCGCTCAGAGCCAGGGAACCGAAGTTCCTCTTTAGGAAGGGCTCCAACTCTGCAAGCGGAAGTGAGCCGCAGCTCGTCTCCGTCTTTTCCGGTGTGGCTCCGCGCTGCCCCGTCCTCTTTCTCCCCGGTGGCGGGCTGGCCGGACGGGCTCTGGTGAGGCCCGGGGAGGGCGTGGGCAGCGGCGGTGGCGGGGAGTGAGGCCCGGGCGTGCCCTTCGTGTGCATCCCGCTCGTTCCCCGCTCGCTCGCTGCCCCCGGCGCTTCTCAGAGGCTCGGGCCCAACGGTCCTCGGTCCCGGCCGGGGCCATTTCGCATAGATGTGCCTTGTGCTCCCCCCTTGCTGCCTCCAACGCCTGTAAGGTCATCTCAGGCCTTTCCAGAAGGAAAAGGATTTCCGCCATTGGAGTCCAGTTTGGCCACCCATCGCCCCACGGACCTGACTTTCCTGGCGCTTACTGGTGAGCAGTGGGTGGGATTTGATGGACGGGAAAAGTCCAGGGGTGAGGGAGCTTCAGCTTGTCTTTCTAGCCCGACTCACTACCAACGATTAGATTTTAGCGTCCCTCCTTTTTGGAAACAGATACATCCCATGAGTCCAGTTTTGTTGTAATTTTACCTATCATGCATCATTTCGGCATGTTACATTTAGGCAAAAAGAGGAAAATTTAAGTGTTCAGGGTGTGTGTTTTCGTGTGTTGTGTAGATCACAAACCATCCCGTACCCCATCACTTCATCCTAACAACAGTAAAGTGTTCACAAGTGAAAAACAGGGAGCTTAGCACTGAAGGGATGGCCTTTAGAAAACTGGGATTTGGGCCAGGAGAGATGATTTACTGGTTAAGATTAGCTCGCATGTGGGCACTTCCGGAGGACACCGATTTGATTCCCAGCACCCACTTTAGTGGCTCATAACACCAACTCCAGCCGTGAGGGCATGGGAAGACCAGACACTTTTCACTCGTGTGGTACACATTAACATATACACATAATTTAATAAATAACTGGAACTCTTTTAAGGAGTGGGTGAGGCTTTATTTTTCTAAAATAGTATATTTGAACTTAATTATTTTCCCTGTGGGGGCATGTTTCAGTAAAACTTAAGTCATTGTGCTAGTGCTATTGCAGGAAAACAATGGGTTTCATTTATGTGCATACAGGCACATTCTGTATTTTGTTCTTACGTTCTCTTACCTCTTCCCATCTTCCCTTTTGCCAGGTGGTCCCTCATATAGGCTTTTCTTTAAAAACAAAGTTTACTGGGGCTGCTTTAGAACCCTTGTTGCTCTTGCAGATGACCTGGGTTTGATTCCAAACACCCACGAGGTGGCTCAACCATCTGTAATTCCAGTTCTAGAGGATTGTTCGCCCTCTTTTGACCTGGAGGTGCGCTAGCCACTCAGATGGGCCACTCAGATGGTATACATATGTACATGCAGGCAAAACATTAAAAAACTTTTTAAAAAGAGGGGTTTGTGTGTATGTGTGTGTGTGTGTTCATACATGTGTGTATGTATATACCTTTGCATGTCTGTATGCCTTTCTGTAGAGGCCAGAAGAGGGTGAATTATTGATCACCTGAAGCTGGACTTACAGGTAGTCATGAGCTACCTGTTGTTTGTGTTGCAAAACAACTCTCTGAAAGAGCAACAAACACTTAACCATTCTGCATCTCCAGCCTCTACTTTTTAACAATTTCTTTTTTATTATTATTAAACAAATTTACTTTATATGTATGGGTATTTTGCCTGGTGTAGGTCTGGGCACCCTTTGAGTGGAATGTCCCTGGAGGCCAGAAAGAGGGTATCAGATCCTCTGTAACTGGAGTTACAGATTGTCATGAGTTTCTATGTTGGTGCTGGGAATGAATCCTGGTCTTTTGAAAGAGCAGCCAGTGTTCTTAATTTCTGAGTCATCTCTCTAGCGCCATTATGATTATTATTTTTCATTTTTTGAGACAAGGTCTGTAGTCCAGGCTAGCCTGGCATTCACTGTGCCTCCTTAGTCCTTGGATTACTAACATGTATGAACCATTGTGCAGACAGCCAGATGTTAAACTATTTGAACTTTACTTCCTTTGGATTTCTCCAATCCTTTGGATTAAAGTCACAGCAGTAACTTAGCTGATGACAGTTGATGAGTTAGTTATTCCTACCTACTGAGACTGAGGAAGAAGATAGCTTGAGCCCTTGAGACATGGACTAGCTGTGACAACAGAATGAGATCCTCCCAACAAGAAAAATTGTCAAAGTATGATTAGTGGAAACAACATTAATGTACAACTGAGGAAGCTTAGATTCACTGAGTCACAGTGCGAGTGGTCACACCTGCTATAGGCCCTGAGAACCAGAATTGTGTCAGAATTTAAAAATGACCACACTGACCAGTCATGGTCAATGGTGCAAGCCTTTAATCCTAGTACTCTGGAGGCAGAAGCAAGCAGGTCTCTGAAGTCAAGGCCAGCCTGGTCTACAAAGTGAGTTCCAGTACAGCCAGAGCTACACAGAGAAACACTGTCTTGAAAAACCAAAACAAAGAAACAAACAAACAAAAAAGAGACCACCTCCTGGTCCTGTATTGATCGTAAGCAGTGGAAAGGACAGTGAGGGAAGTAGGGTCCTAAGTCGTTTGGTCACGCCATTGTGCAAACGAGGTTTGGAGTGGATTGCTTACAATATGACAGATAATCTCAATCAGAGTAGGAAATGACAACTTCAGTTGGTGAAACTAAATGGCTAGGTTCACATTCCTTTAGCTGACAGTTAGAATAAGCCAATTGGAATGTTCATGATACTGATTGCTGTTCTTCCCAATCACCAAAATAGAAGAGATACCCACATGAGACAAATTAAAATATGTGTATCAGGGGAAGAGAACTCCATGGGGAAATTTCTTAGATACACAGGCATCAGTTTCATGATGTATCTCCTTCAATATGTTGACTTTAAAAATGGGACAAAAGAGATTGAACACTCTTATACTATCTTATATATGTCAAGTATCTCCAGTGAAAAATGTATGTTATTTTGCAATTTTATATATTAAAGGTATTTTAATTTTGATAAATAACATGGGTTAAACATATCAGTGTAAAAAAATGAATTTTCAAGTTGCTCCAAAACTCACTTTTGATTGGTTTGCTCAAATATCTTTAAGCTTATTATCATTACTAATATTAATTGAGATAGGGTCTCTGTATAGCAGTGGTTGGCCTGAGACTCACTGTTATACCCGAGAGTTATCTACCTGTCTTTTGCTTTTGCTTCCTGGGTCTCCACACCCAGGCCTATTTATTATTTGTGTGTGTGTGTGTGTGTGTGTGTGTGTGTGTGAGTGTGTGCGTGTGAGTGTGTGCGTGTGAGTGTGTGTGTGTGTGTGTGTGTGTGTGAGAGAGAGAGAGGTTTGTATCATCATGGTCTGTGTCTAACAAGTTTCTCAAAGAGCTTCTTTTAAGTCACATCTTTTTTTTTTTTAGCTAAAAATCCTGTTTCTTTTGTTGTGTGTACATGTGTGGGTATGTTTATTTATTTATTTTTTTACTTTGGTTTTTTTGGGGGGGTGGTTTCAAGACAGGGTCTCTTTCCTGTGTAGCCCTAGCTGTCCTGGACCTAGCTCTGTAGACCAGACTGGCCTTGAACTCATAGGGATCCACCTGTCTCTGCCTTTAAAGGCGTGCACCACCACTGCCTGGCATGGCTCGTGTGTTTATTTTTGAGACAGGGTCTTAACTGTGTATCCCTAGCTGCCCTGGAGCTCTCTTTGTAGATCAGGCTGGCCTCAAACTCAGAGATTTCCCTGCCTCTGCCTCCTGAGTGCTAGGATTAAAGGTGTGCACCTCTATGCCTTTGTACATCTTTATGCCTGGCTAAAGATGAAATCTGGGGGCAGGGAGAAGAGGGTGATAACAAAGGGCTGGTGTTGTTAATGATTAAATTAAATCTGTTTTTTTGTTTTTGTTTTTGTTTTTTGAGACAGGGTTTCTCTGTATTGTTTTCGAGGCTGTCGGTCCAGCCTGGCCTCGAACTCACAGAGATCCGCCTGCCTCTGCCTCCCGAGTGCTGGGATTAAAGGCGTGCGCCACCACCGCCTAGCTAAATCTGTTTGTTTATTTATTACTGTTTTAAAATATTTCAAATTTTCTTTTGATGTAAAATCTTTAGAATGACTCAGTCAATAGGTGGCTAAAGTATTTTTTTCTTTTTCATTTGGTTTTCTACCTGACAAGGTCCTGGTGGTGTTCATGGCCCAATAAGGGGCTAGACATCTAACCAATTAGTAGAACATTTGCCTAGTGTGGTCTGGGCTTTATCCCTAGACCACAAAGAAAAGAAGAATGTCCTTGACAAATGCTGCAGCATCTGGTTTCTGTTGCTCCATTTATAGACCTCAGCTTAGGGCTGGAGTTGTAGAGAAGTGTATGTAAGGGAAAGTAGCAGCTGTGGGGATAGCAGATTCTAGGGGCACTATTGCTAATGAGGTGGTATTATCTCACTGGCGAAACAGGTGCTTCTCTTGCTTGGCCTCTTTAGTCTCTGATTCAGTGAATAATTTCCTAATTACCCCGTATCTATTTCCCTCTTCTGCTTTGCCACTGACAAGTCAGTTAACTTAAGTAATACCCAAAGACTGTAGCTTTGCCTGTCAACTGACTGTGCCTGTCCAGCATGTGCCTTGGAGGTATCTGTAATGTTCCCCCATCACAAAATTATAAACTTAAAACATGAGCTCTTAATTTTTGTAACTCAGTTATGTGAGTCCCAAGTGTGAACTTTGTAATGACAGTGTTGCTGTGCTGCAATGTCAAAAAGTTGAACATATTTGTAGACTTTCTAGACCCTTTCATTTTAGGGAAGGGAGTTTCTGAGTCATTCAGTTGAGTACAGGCAGTAGTACTCAGCAGCATGACTCAGCTGTAATCCAGGAAGACAGAGTCACCTGGTGTTAACATTGTGGAAGGAATATTTGGGAAGCCAAGAGCAGTCTAGTTACATTTTGTTGTGCTTTATGGGATCCATGCAGGGTTTGGCATCAGGTTATATTTTCTGTTGTGATGAATAGGCTGTCTGGATTCTGCAGGCTGTGAATTCTAGTCCTACCTGAGACAGGAGAATTACATCTGATAATCTGATAATTTGGTCAAGTGAGGTACAACAACCTATGTGAGATGGCTAGAGCGTTTTATGTATTAGTTAGAGATCCTTGAAGTGGGTAAGTTGCCTTCAAGGCTCATGGAAGATCTGTTCAACAGCAAGGGGACTTTTGGGACTAAGTCTTATGGGCATTTTGACTTCTAGGCTTTCTTGCTGGGGTTGTGGATTGAGAATTAATATTTCTTTAAATTTTGTTCATTTTTCTTTTATTCCTCTTAAGATAGGGTCTTGTATAGACCATACTGCCTTAAACTCTTAAAAACATATTTTATGAGTCTTTTGTCTGCATGTATATGTATGCCTTTTGTCC